GGGTTCTATCTGTACAAGAAAGATACCATACCTGTCCTGGGGGTGGCACGTGCCAGCGTTGAAGAGGGTCGGCGATGCATGCGTGAAGTAGCCGCAGGACAGCAGCTCGTAGGTCTCCAGGACGCGGTCCAGCCTGTCGGGCCCGTGCAGGTGCAGCGCGACCCGCATCCACATGTACTGGGGGCGCTCGGCAGGCCGCCCTTCCTTGCACAGCAAGTAGCCCTTGATCATGGTCTTGGCCCCAAAGTAGTCGAGCCCATAGGACCTGGCGTGGTCTATCGCTCCCTCCAGGGCATCACAGAGCGCGTCGTCCTTTGTGATGCGCTCGTACAGCGCCTCGTCCCAGCGGCCAGGGCCGAGAAGCTCCACCGACCCGCGCAGGGTTGCAGGGGTGCTCTTGTGCAGGTTAGAGATCACGATGCGCGCAGCCAGAATCCCATACTCTGGATGGGAGGTCTTCAGGGTCTCTGCAACCTCTGCGGTCAGAACGTCAATCTCCTCGGTGGACACTCCGTCATAAATCGACACACTGACCCTCTGAACGATCTTGACGGGATCTGCGTTGAGGAGCGGTCCACCAGTGACCTGCAGAGACATGTCCTTCACCCGCCTTGAACGCCTCCAATGCCCATAAGCCTTGCCCTCAGCATACGGCTGATGCACGTTCTTGCACAAATTCGAAAGGCGCTGGCTGATCTTGTCAAAGGAGACTGGCTCACGAAGACCGTTGCGCTTGACAACCTCCATGGTGAAAGCAGATTGAATGGGAATGCCTGAACCATCGGACAGGACAGACTCAAGTATCAAAGGCAGCGTGGCGATAAATGGCGGTGGACTGGCAGGAGGGTGGCCCTGAGTTGGCACGGAATGGCGCGATTGGCTTGGCAGATTGACAAAGAATGCAGGAAGAAATGCTTCAGACTTTAAACCACTCACCAGCTAGCCATGGGGGTTCTCCTGGACATCCTGGAGCCCTTGTCTGCAAGCGACCCCTCTGTCATGCTCTATGTCGGGATGCTCTCCAAGGAACACAGAGCATACTGCAAAGAATTCTGGTCTCTCCGGCATGAAGCCTTCTGCAGAGGGGATTTTGTCAGGGGACAGGCACGCACCCGAGGCATGGCTGCAAGCATTGCTGGAAACAAGCGGAAGCGTTGCCATGGCTGTGGAGAGGCGCTTGCCCTGCCCTGGCCCTTTGACCCGAAAATCTGCATCTGCAACCAATGCACCAAACAGGGTGGCCCTGCGAAATACCGGCT